AAAGAGCCGGAGGGCCTCGTTCCAGTGGGACTACATCATGGCCTGGAACTGGCTGACCATCTCAGCCCGCTGAGCCTCCAGGGGGCAGTAAACTGGCCTTGCACTCCCACAGGTCTTCCCTCTGTTTGGGAAGCCTATGCTCCTAGTCCTCAGTGAGGTGCTTCTGCTGAGCCTCCTTCTCCATCAGACTCAATTTGAACTGAGCTGTTTTGCCAACTCTTTCTCCTGGTGGCTGCTTAGCTTCAATAACTGCTTCCTGTTGGGGTCCTAAGGAGCCCGGGCGGGAAGGCGAGGAGTAGCTGGGAGGGGAAGGGCGAGTAGATGCCAGTGAGGCATCCGTTGATGTGAATGACATTGAGTTGGCCACACCCACCCAGTCACATGACCACCTAGCCACACCCACCCAACAGGTCATTAGGCAAATCATATTAGTGGTCCGCGGTATTTAAAATTATGAAATTAGTGGTGCCTGAGGTCTAAAAAGGTTGGTGACCCCTGGTTTAAAATATTAAAAGGGACTAATTGTTTTAAATCCTAGAGGAGCTTGTTTTAACGGATATACTTCCCTCTGCGTTTTGAACAACGGGAGATTTTTAATCAACGGGAAATGAGAAAACCCTACAAAACTAACATTAACCCAAATTTTCCACAGCACGCTTTCCAGGGTTGGGAGGATTCTGCACACCTGGCAGATGTTGCATCCTAACAGTTCTTTCCCTGGCCTCCCCTGGGACTCCTGTTACTAGGTTCGCACATGTGTGATTTCCTGCCTCGGAACTAGCTTTATTAATTTCATGCTCCCTATCCCCCGATATCTCGGATTATTCCAATTTTCTGTTCCAATGCAGTTTGAGTGCCACATGGAGCAAAGCGACATTTTTATGACCCTCTCCCGGGGGAAATCAGGAGTACAATAATAGAGATAAGCACTGCACAAATAAGAGAGGGAATGGAGGGCCCAGTGGCCTCTTAATGCCGTCTTAAGCCTCCAATTTGCAGGCAGATAAGCGCCTCACCCAGAAGCTTCCCTTTTCGAGGCTGTGAAAAGAAAGAGGCAACACACCAAGTGCAGCCCTTTCACAACTTTCTACCAATCACTAAGAGGGAGGAGAGCAATATCTGGGGACAGGCGAATGTTTTAATCATTTCTTTTCAAATTTCATGTGAATAAAAATAAATAGACTAGGAATGGCCAAGGTGGAACACAGAATCACAGGGCTGGAAGTCTATGGAGATTCACAGTCATTCGGGTCACTGTTGTCCCTAAGATGCTTTTTCAAGAGGCAAACTTGGACTTTCTGGTTTTTCTATGTGGTGAAGATGTTTTGCTTCTCATCCAAGGAGCTTCTTCAGCTACGGCTGGCTGGTGGGGAATGGAAGGATTTATACTCCTTGCAGACAGCTGGACGTTTGTATTCTTTTAGCCAGTCGTTAAGGTCACCTGTGTCCTCAGGATCACCAGGGTCAGGGGGCAGTCACCTGTGGCTCTGGAGCCGCATGTGGCTCTTTCATCCCTCTGCTGCGGCTCCCTGTCGCCGGCCAGCTCAACAATTGATAGGGCTTTCAGTTAGTACAGGTAGAGGAAAAAGGACGCCATGCTAGGAGGAGACTCTATGGTGGGAGAACAGAACTTCCGGTCGGCTCCAGAATAGAACGGGGTGGGGCTCCGGTTAGGACCTTTGTGGCTCTTTGAGTGTTTAAGGTTGCCGGCTCTTGACCTGGGTAGTGCAAACGGGTGTGGAACTTGAAAGGACTATGTTGTAGACTGGAGATAGATGATGTCATCCCCCCCCCCCCCCCCCGTTGAGAGAAAGCTGTTCAAGTTAGACGTAGATGGCCTATTCAACTCCTCTTTAAAACCAGTGATCCCATCTGTCCAAAAGGTGGACTTTGTTGTCTTCAAAAGAGTAGCCTCTTTTTTGAGATTTGATGAAGGTTTGTACATGCCAGGCAACGTGGCTCCATGTGCCACTTCGGGGCATGCGTGTAATAGGTTCGCCATCACGAATTTATATCAACCAATGGGTCTATTTTTTGAAAACCAGCCACTTTTTTTTTCAACGTCACTGTGACTTCGAACAGTCACTAAGCAAACAGCCCTAAGTCGAATGACAGCCTTCATTGGCACAGTTATTTCCTTAATTAAGTCTTGTCCAATCACATACAGGTTGGCGCATTGGTAAAAGAAAGAGAGAGAAATCAAGTACATTATCCGGGGGGGGAGGGGGGGCTAGTAGGAGAAACAGGATATAAACAAAAGACACGAATGAATAATTCTACCTGCTGAGCACCCAAGGATGCACCATTATTTATCACCGTTGAGGAAATGCTGCTGGGAAGAGCGAGGACACAGGATGACAGTCCAACGTGGATTCACCGTGACTTTCAGTTATGAAAGCGATGGTTGCCGCTTGCTTCTCAACCACAGCTTGGACGCAGCACAAGAGCGAATACCGTATTTTTAGGAATATAAGACGCACGTTTTTTCCTCAAAAAAGAGGCTGAAAATCTGGTTGCATCTTATACACTGAATCCAGCATTTTTTTTGCCTCCCCAAGCCCGACCCGCTTAGCAAAAATGGCTGTGCATATCCTGTAGAAGGCTTTCAGAGAGCTCCTGGGGGCTGGGGAAGGCAGAAATGAGTGAAAAACAGGCCGTTTTTTGCTCAATTTTGCCCCCACAACCCCAAGGAGCACTCTATAAGCTTCCTAAAGGCTATGCATCAATTTTTTTTGACAAAAAACGAGCCTGTTTTTGCAAAAAATGGGCCATTTTTGCTTGTTTTGGGGGGGGGCACCCCCCAGGAGCACTCTGCAAGCCCCCTAAAGGCTATTCATGCCTTTTGGGGGGCAAAAACAGGCCGGTTTTCATGAAAAACGGGCTGTTTTGGGGAGGTTTACAAAGTGCAAAAACCTTTTTTAAAATTTGCCTCTTCAAAACCTTGGTGCGTCTTATACTCCGGTGCGTCATATTCCGAAAAATATGGTACCTTTTCTTCCACCAAACCGAGCTATTATGAATAAGTTACACAATTACAGAATAAGAGTTGCAAGGGACCTTGGAGGTCTTCTAGTCCAACTAGACTAGACCCTATACCAGGCAGGAGACCCTGTACCAGTAGTCCCCAGCGTCTGTGCCTTGGCAGTCCAGCTGAGGGGGGAAGCGGGGAATTGGTCCGCATGAGCGGTGGGCTGGTGCGCACACGCAGCCCTTGCACAAGTGGCGGGCCAACACACATGCACCCAACTCGGCATGCCGCTCACACAAATTGAGCTGCACGTGCCTTTGGCCAGCCACTCGCACAGCCCGATTCCAAATAGGCCACGCCCCGGTAGGAGACTGCGGCCTGGGTATTGTGGATCCTTGCCCTATATCATTTCAGACCAATGGCTGTCCTATCTCTTCTTGAAAGCCTCGGTGATGGAGCACCCACGACTTCTGGAGGAAAGCTGTTCCACCGATTAATTTGTTTTAAATCTCAGGAATGTTCTTCTTATTTCTAGGTTGGTTCTCTTCTTGATTAGTTTCCATCCATTGCTACTTGATCATACCTATTTGCACATGTAGCTAAACCAGAAGTGGGCTGCTGGCGGCTTGGAGGGGTTCAGGAGAACCTCTATCTAAGATTCTGTGCAGTTCAGAGAACCCCCCAAACCCAACTCCTGGCTGGCCCCACCCATCCAATCCCGCTCCTGCCAGGAGTCCCCATGCGACCCGTTTTGGATGCAGGTAAGTGCAGGGGGGTGCACGGAGGCTCGGAGAGGGCCTCCGGAGCCTGGGGAGGCCATTCCCCCCCCCCGGAGGCTCAAGGAAAGCACCCAAAGCCTGGGGAGGGCAAAAACGCCCCCCTGCTGTGGTGCAGGAGGCCAACTAGGCCACACTCACCATAGTCACGCCCACACAGCAACTGGGCAGAGAACCCCTTGCTAAAAGTTTTGAAGCCCACCTCTGAGCTAAACCTATAATTACAATAATACAATAGCAGAGTTGGAAGGGACCTTGGAGGGCTTCTAGTCCAACCCCCTGCCTAGGCAGGAAACCTTATACCATTTCCGACAGATGCTAATATATATAATTCCAGAACTTTAAAGACACATGCTTTACAGGCAGGCAGCACTGAATATCATAGGGAACAGGGCAGAATAGCCACAGAAAGCATCCATTTTTGCCCCAAAGAAGGCTGACCCTTGAACAATCTCAAAGAGAAACCCCACATTCATTCATCGAGGCTTGTTTGACTCAATCGCAAAAAGAGAGAGAGGGAGGGAGGGAGCTACTTACAGTGTGTGACTCCAGCAAGAGTTTGATAGAATGTGGGAGTGTCGCTGTCATCTGTGAGTGTGACATACACTCCTCCGGAGAGCAGCCAGCGGGAGAATGTGAAAGCTTCTTTGTTGTGCAACAGCCAGGATCTGAATTTTTCATAGTTTACTTTTTCACCCTACAATAAAAGCAAAGGGGGAAAGGGAGATGTGAACTGTGAAGCTTGCTTCCATTTTTTTACAATTCTTTTTAGCCAAATTGATTGATAAGAGCTATCGATAGAAGATTAAAACAGTCATACTCAAGCTAGGCATCCTCCAGATATATTGGACATGATATAGATCTTTCTCAGCCAGGGGAGCGCCAGTTTGGGATAGTGGATAAGATGATGACCTAGAAAACCATGAAGCTGTGAGTTCTAATTCCTCCTTAGGCATGAAATCCAGTTCAGTGACTTTGGTCCAATCACCGGGAGACAGTGACTTTCTATTTCTAGTTGTGTGTTAGCATGAAAGCTGACTGGTTGATTTTGGGCCAATCACCAGGAGACTGGGAATTGTAATCCCGCTTTAAACATGAAAGCTGGCTAGATGATCTTGGGCCAATCATGACATTAGTTGGGGAATAAACATTATTGAAACCAATCTCCATGTAAATTTTGTCACTAACTGGTCAGCCCCTCCCCTGCTAGTAGACCCACTATTTAAGTATAACTCTGGAGCAAATAGCCAGAGATAAGTCCTAGTCCCTACATCTGCATTTTCTTAAAATAAAGATAAAGATGCATGAACAGCTCTCATCTATCAGCACCCATGCATGCATCCAGCCACTGCCCATCCATCCATCCATCTACCCACCCACCCACTCATTTTTGTATCTATTATCATCACCCATCCATCCATCCAACCAACCACCAACTGTCTCTCTGTTTGTCTACCATCATTATCTATCTATCTATCTATCTATCTACCTACCTATCTATCTATCTATCTATCATCTATTTGTCTATCATCTATCTATCATCTATCTATCATCTATTTATTATCTATCTATCTATCTATCTATCTATCTATCTATCTATCATCTATCTATCATCTATCTATCTATCTATCTATCTATCTATCTATCTATCATCTATCTATCATCTATCTATCTATCCATCCATCCATCCATCT